TCGGCACCTGCTGAGGCAATGTGCTAGGTCTGCTCCCCTCTGCGGGGTGCATGGGCTCCCTGCTACGAGGAGGGGCAGCCTGCTGGAGCCACGGCCTCCTGCTGCAAGGGGATCCATGGCAATCCTGGACAGGGAGCTCGGCTGAGCCCAACTCAAAGGGACAGGCCTGGTGTCAAGAGGTAGCTGGAAAGGCCAGCCAGCACCTCCCACTGTCGACATGCCCTGTCCCACACGCTCTGACTGGTGTCTGCCTGCTCTGCTTCCCATGACCCCACCAGGACGACCCCACCAGGACACCCCCACATTACCAGCTCCCAGGCCTCAGCATGCTCCTGAGCCGAGTAAGACGCTGCCCCCCCCCCCCCTCTCCCATCTCTCTGGGTGAGGCTCTGACCTGTGTGTGCACAATGACACGAATGACCTTGCAGTACTTTTTCATAGCTGCAAAATCCTTCTCCAGCTGCTTTTTGCCCTCCTCATCCTGCCATTTTTTGCAGTACTTGGTGAAGGCCTTCTTCTTGCTCTTGTGCCTACGACAGAAGTATTTAACTTCAGCATAGCTGAACAGCGAAGTGCAGAAACCCAGGGCAACACTGGGTGCTTTCCTGGAAGCACAGGGTACTTGCGGGTACCTCAGCCAAGCTTGGCTGCCCAGAGCCATCACCTTATCCAAGGTGAGAAGGGAAAAAGTGAATAATGAGCCACAAAAAGGGCTGCTAATTCAGACCTTTTTCCATGGAAGTCCAGCTCTCTCCCGTCGACTGATTCAGTGCCACCAAAATACAAAGATAAAATCATAGCTAAGTGGAGAAAGAAGAAAAGTCTCTGACAGGGATCAGAGACATGTGGTGGGTGGATCTGATGGATGATGGGTGCTGTTGCAGGAGACACGATTCCTACAGTTATGAAATTCATGTTTCCATTTTCCTCTCTGCCAGGGTGGGATTTGGGGAGTTGATGTTTGCAAGGGCCAGAGATCACAATCTGCATGGATTTTCTATCTGATAAATCTAGGTTTTATTCCTTTAATTTGGTGCTTTGGCTGAAGTATTTCAGTTTAACAGAGAGTAGATGGGCCCAGCCTACATAAAGGAAAAGGAACCTGCAGCACACACTGCTGAATGATATTCTGGAGATAGCTACCTGGTTCAACTATTAAAATAAATTTACATGGGCCTGTGCTGATTCCCAACAAAAAAGCTGTTTGCAGTACTTCTGTGCATGACTAAATAGCTGTTTCACTCCACCCTAGAGCCAGCTGCCCGTAGCTGAACAGTTTCCAACGGCTGTACATTGTGGAGAGCTTCAGGGAAGGTCTGGGAGAAGCTCCCCCTCGCACAATACCCCAGTGACCCAGCCCAGCCAGGGAAGCTCATACCAGTTCTTGTAGAAGCGGCGTCTGCACTCATCACTGATGTGCTCCGCAAAAACAGTCTTGAAATTTCTCAAGCCCTTCGGCGTTTCGATGTACCCCACGACTCCCACCACCACCATGGGGGGGGTCTCGATGATGGTCACTGCCTCTACCTCCTCCCTCTTGGAGATCTCTGCAAAGGAAAACGGTGCTCAGCATCATCTGGGATCAGCTTATCGCCTGGGGGCCAGTCATGGCCCGTGCTGTTATACTGAACAAGCAGCGTGCTGCGGACAAGGTTGCACTTTGCTCTCACGGCCAGCCTCAGCCCTTCTGATCTCCCATGGCCGCAAGCTGGAGGGCCACGCAGGGTCTGATCATGAGACACCCAACAGTCCCTGCAACCAAACACGCTTTAACCCATCTCCCCTCATGCTGGGGGGAGCAGTAAATTGGGTAGTTCCTGCGCACTCTGGAGTTTGGGTCCTATCCTGTGGGCATCCCAGAGGGCAACTTCATAAAACTTCCCCAGCAAGATTTCCCAAGCCTGGCACTTGTCAGGTAGTTACCCTGCAGGGTCCCTCTGCCAGCAGGATCCAACAAACCACCAGTCACCATACTGGTGTGGGGATGTCCCAGGCGCCTCCAAGCTCAGCCTACACTGGTCACGAGGTGGCCTTTGGCCATCCACGATCTGGACGGCATTACAGGAGACAGCCTGAAGTGACAGCCAGAAGTGGCATGCTTTGTCACCCATTTCCACGAGCAGCCTCTCCCACCACCAAGCTTGTTCCCTCTTTTCTCTCCTGGATGTGACCCCCCTCCTTCAGCCAAGCCTTACTCAGCCCAGGCCTGTGCACCTCCCGCAGGGTGTGTGTCATGCCAGCTTTGTAGCCCAGGAAAGCTGTCAAGTGAACTGGTTTGCTGGGGTCATCCTTAGGCCACGTTTTCACCTTCCCTCGGTGGCGACGGCTCCTCTTGTGGGGGAGGAAGCCCAGGTGGCCATGCCGGGGAGCAGAGAACTTGCGGTGGGACTACAGAGAGGAAGAACAAAAAAGATCCACTTTACTTTCCCGTCCTAGAAGACACCCAAGGGACGAGGCCCAAAGCACAAAGGGATGTCTCCCCTTTAACATCAGTGAGCACTGGAGGGGGTTCTTGGCTTTTCATTTCCAGCATGAGAGAAAGAACTCCCTAACAGAAACAGAAAGAGTTTTATTTAAACTTCCATCACGTGTATCAAAGAATTTAAGTTTCTGGACAAACAATGCAGATTAACTAAAAACATCTTGAACACCACCCCCCCCTCTTTCTGTTCAAGGACTTTCAAGGAGAAATGTGTTCTTTAACGGGTTTGTCCTACTGGGATGTTAATCAGAATTTTTAATTATGTGCTCAAAAGCACCAAAATGGCCTGTTTAGCATTCGTGGGGGCATGTTCAGTCCTTCCAGTGTTGTCAAGGCAAACGGCAGCAAACGAACACAGCTAACAATCAGAAGAAACAGGAAAGGATGCCCAAAGGAGTCAGTAATAAGAACATGCGCATGTTAAACGTGCACCTTGAAAACTGAATTATAAATGCTAAATATATAAACCCCAATCACAAGGTCATGTTGCACCAGGCAAAAAAAAAAAAGCAACAGAGCCTTAGAGAGACATGGACAAACCCTTACAATATTGGCTTGAAGGAAGGGGAGGTAGGGAGCCAGTCCAAGCAGTTAAGAGTTAGATTTACATCCACTGAAGCTCCCTTCCTGCTAAGATCAGTCCTAGCACCTAGTTGCACTTTCCACCAAGCTTGTTTTCCAAACCAAGTGGACCTTTGTCTAGTCCAACCCCATTTCAAATGTGCTAACTTAACCAATAACCCGGCCCTGCTCACTGTCCCTCTCTACACAATCCAAAAGGTAGCAGTGCCGAGCTTTACAAACCATGGGACGTCTTCAGCCCAGGTCAGCAGCAGGAAGATGCTATCAGTAAGTGCTTTCCCCGTCTAATACTTAAGATGTTTATCGGTCTGAAGACACAAATTTAGCTGCTAGCTTCATTCGGTGCTATATTCATTTCACACTCAGCAAAGCTGGCAGGTTTGGCACTAACAGTTGTGATGTGATAAAGGTCAATTGCTGGTGTCTCAGTTTACTCCTCTCCCTCCTAAGCAAGCTGAACATGAATGGAATACAATACAATTACAATAGCTTCCTAACCACAGGACAACATAACAAAAGCCGTGAACCCTCGCACTGGGCACGGGAGTAGCCAAACTTACTGCATCCATCAGTCTGCTCATGGATAAAAAGACAGAAGAAAATTCCTCATGTTAGCCTAGACAAGAAAGGCTTTGTGATTCTGCCTGGAAAAGAGATCCAGGCAATAGATCTCATTGTGAGGATGAGCTTTGCTCCTTCTCTAGCCCTTTTGCTGAAAAATGCTAACACTGGCTTTGACAGAAGTGGCAGCGTTTCTGTGGGTGATCTTTAGGCACTAGGGAGGATGGAACAGCGCGCTGAACGGAGCGACTGCTGCGATTACAGGCAATTACAAGTCACAGATATCTCACAAGTGAAGGATTAAAAATTGCCAGTAAGCTACAATTTTAAAAATTCACTTACTTGCTTTGATACATTGCAGTTTCTTGGCTCTGAACATCAGAACACGTGAATATTGGAACACTTGGCTCGTGCTAAAGCCAGCTGGCAGCTAACCTGGTAGCCCAGCCTCCTCCCAGCGGCAAGGCCACAGCCGTGCAGGCCCC